AGATTATTAAAGAATCAATGGTTGAAGATATTTGTAATATCTTGAATAATGGTGAAGTGCCAAATCTATTTCCTGCAGAAGAGAAAGGTAAGATCATTGAGGAAATGAGTAGTTATACTTCTGGTACACCAAATGAGAAATACAGTTATTTTGTTAGGTAATGTAAAAAGAATTTGCATCTTGTGATTTGCATGTCACCTGTTGGAGAAGCATTTAGAAGAAGATTACGTACTTTTCCAGCTTTGGTTAATTGCACAACTATAGATTGGTTTTTACCATGGCCAGAAGAAGCCCTTAGATCAACTGCAGATGCTGTATTTACAAGAGATATGAATATTACTGATACTAAATTAAGATAAGGATTGGTTAATATTGCTGTTGATATGTAGATGAGAGTATCTGATTTAACTAAAAGATATTATAATGAATTAAGAAGATATTATTATGTAACACCTACTTCTTATTTGGAATTACTTAACACATTTAAGAGACTAAAATCTGATAGAGATTAAAATATGATTAAAATGATATCTCGTTATGAAGCAGGTGTTGATAAAATTATTATTACTGAAAGTGAAGTTAGCAAAATGCAAAAAGAATTAGAAGACTTACAACCTAAATTAGAATAGGCTACTAAAGATAATAGCATTATGTTGATTAATTTATAAAAGAAATAAAAAGAAGCAGATGCTAAAAAATAAGTTTGTCAATAAGAGGAAAAAGATTGTAATGTTTAAAGAGATGCAGCAAATGCCTTAAGAAACGATTGTTAAAATGACCTTGATAAAGTGTTACCAATTTTAGCTCAAGCTGCAGAGGCTTTAGAAAAAATTGATAAGAATGATATGGTTTAATTGAAATCATTCCCTAAGCCTCCTCCTTCTGCAGCTATTGTAATGGAAGGTTTATGTTACATTTTTTAAGAAGATCAAAATGTACCATGGAAACCTAAAGAACCTGGTTCAATGGAAAAAATACAAGATTTTTGGGAGTATTCAAAAAAGAATTTATTAAATGATAAATTAATTAAAAGAATTAAAGATTTTAGAGATGATGCAATTAGATAAATTCCCTAAGCTAAAATAAATAAATTAAAAGCATTTTCATAAAATCCATTATTTTAGAAGGATAAAGTATTTAATGCATCTGTTGCTGCAGGTAATTTAAGTTTATGGGTTCGTGCTGTTGTAGAAACTTATGATGCTTTATTAGTTGTTGATCCTAAGAGATAATAATTGTTAGAAGCAGAAGCTAAATTAAAAGAAGCTGAAGAGACTTTAAGAGTAAAATAAGAAGCATTACAAGAGGTGCTTGATATTTTAGCTAAATTAGAGGCGGATTATAATAAGGCCAAATAGGAAAAAGAAGACTTAGAAGCTAAGGTTAATAAATGCAAAATTTAATTGAGTAGAGCAGAGAAATTAATTACTGAATTAGGAGGAGAGAAGGAGAGTTGGAAGAAGAAGGCTGCTGATTTTAGAGTTGATTCTAAAACAATTGTTGGGGATTGTATATTATCATCAGGAATTGTGGCATATTTAGGGGCATTTCCTATTGCTTATAGAGATGATACAATAAAAGCATGGTAAGGTTTATTAAATAAATTAAATTTGGATTATGATCCAGATTATTCATTATAAAAAATTTTATGTGATCCAATTACTATGGGATAATGGACAAATGTATAAAAGTTACCAAATGACTCATTTTCAATTGATAATGCTATTATCTTAAAAAATTCTACAAGATGGCCATTGATGATTGATCCTTAAACACAAGCTAATACATGGGTGAAGCATATGGAATTGAGGCATGGAGAAAATTAGTCATTAGTAATTATTAGACCAACATAATCTTAAAATGTATTATCTAAGACTTTAGAAAGTGCATTATAATTTGGATAGAGTGTGTTATTAGAAAATGTTGGAGAGAGTATAGATGCCATATTTGAATCAATTTTATAATAAAAGATTATCAAATAAGGTTCTGCTTATAAATTAAAATTTGGAGATAAGATGGTTGATTATTCAAAAGATTTCAAATTCTACATGACTACAAAGTTAGCAAGACCACATTATCCACCTGAAATCTGTGTAAAGGTCACAATGTTAAATTTCTAAGTTACTCAAGAGGGATTGGAAGATTAAATGTTAAACATTGTTGTAAAAATAGAGGAACCTGCTAAAGATGAATAAAGACAAAGAAATATTAAGGAATTCTTTGAAAATAAGAATAAATAAAAGATGACAGAAGATAACATTTTATAATTATTATAAGAATCAAAAGGTAATTTGTTGGATGATGAAGTTTTGATTGATACTCTATAAAGATCTAAAGCAGAATCTATAACTATTTAGGATAAATTAAAGAAATAAGAGTAGGATAGAGAATAGTTTAATCAAATTCGTAATTTCTACAGAGAAGTGGCAAAGAGAGTGGCTAATTTATATTTTGTAGTTTTGGATCTTTCTTTGATTGAACCTACTTATTAATGGTCTTTAGAATTTTACATTATTTTGTTTGAAAGAGCAATCAGAGAATCTATTTAAGGAAAAGAGAATAGAAGTAAAAATATAATAGATAAATTTTAAATTTCTTTATATGAAAGTATATGTAGATCTTTATTGGAAAAAGATAAATTGATATTCTCATTTTTGATGACAATGAAAGTGATGTAAAGTGATGGTAAAATTACTCCTTAAGAGATTCGTTTTACAATGGTAGGTGGAACCTATACAGACCCAACTTATAATTAACCATAAGCAGAGTGGATTTCAAAGAAGATGTGGTGTTTAATAACTGAAGCAGCTGATGTTTTGGCTTGTTTCAAAGGATTACCAGAATCTATTACAAAGAATTTAGAGGTTTGGCAAGAGATATATGACAGTTCAGAACCTTAGACATAAAAATTACCAGAACCATGGGCAACTACTTTATCTGCATTTTAGAAATTGATTATTTTAAGAATAATTAGAGCAGATAAATTTGCAAATGCAACTTAAAATCTTATTATTACAGAAATGGGTAAATAATTTATGGATCCTCCTCCTTTCAATTTGGAATATGCCTATAAAGATGCTGATGCATTTACACCATTAATTTTTATTTTATCACCAGGTGCAGATCCTCGTTTAGAAATTTAGAGTTTAGCTGATAAATTTGGATTTAGATAAAACTTTATTCCACTTTCATTAGGTTAAGGTTAAGGAGAAATTGCAACAAATGCCATAAAAGGAGCTGTTAAAGATGGAAAATGGGTATTATTATAGAATTGTCATCTTGCTCCATCATTTATGCCAGAATTAGAGAGAATTCATGAATAAGAAATATGTGCTAAACCTGATGTAAATACAGATTTTAGAATATGGCTAACGTCAATGCCTTCTAATGTATTTCCTGTAACTTTATTAATGAAAGGAATTAAAATGACTTATGAACCACCTAGAGGATTAAAAAATAATATGTTAAGAAACTTTTCATCAATAGATGCTAAGAGTTTTGAATAATGTAAGAAACCAGTTGAATGGAAAAAATTATTCTTTGGACTAAACTTCTTCCATGCTGTTTGTTTAGAAAGACGTAAGTATGGACCTCTAGGCTGGAATATTCCATATGAGTTTACTTCTGCAGATTTGGCAATTTCTGTTTCTTAATTAAGGAATTTCCTAGACACATTTGAGGATATTCCTTGGGAAGCTCTTAATTATATGGTTGCAGAAGCAAATTATGGTGGAAGAGTTACAGATCCTAAGGATAGAAGATTAATTACCATTTTACTTAAATAATTCTATACAACTGATGTTTTATAAATTGATAAACATAAATTGAGTCCAAGTGGTACTTATTATGTTCCCCCAAATGGAGTTTTAGAGGACTACAAAGAATACATAAGAAATTTACCATTAAATGATTAAACTGAAGTATTTGGATTGCATGATAATGCAGAAATATCATCAGCAATAATTGAAACCAATTTCATTACATCAACTATATTATCATTACTTCCTAGATCAACTGGAGGGGCTGGAGCTTCTGCAGAAGATCTAATCAAAGAAAAATGTAAACAAATTCTATCAAAATTGCCTAAAAGATTCAATGTGGAAGAGGCTGCTCGTAAACATCCTGTTTAATACAATTAGAGCATGAATACAGTGTTATAATAAGAATTAATTAGATTCAATAAATTATTATAAGCAGTTACATAATCTTTGATTGATTTAGGCAAGGCAATAGATGGTTTAGTTGTAATGAGTGCAGATCTAGAATAAGTGTTTAATAAAGTTTTTGATAATTAAGTTCCAGATGTTTGGCATAAAGTTGCTTATCCTTCACTGAAACCCTTAGGATCATGGATCAATGATTTTATTGATAGATTGCACTTTATGTAATTATGGATAGATAATGGTGCACCACCAACTTTTTGGGTTTCTGGATTCTTTTTCACATAATCCTTTTTAACAGGTACACTTCAAAACTTTGCTAGAAAAGTATATATATTAGTAATAAATAGTACTAAATTCCTATTGATACTTTATCCTTTGAATTCATAGTGATCCCACCTTCATCATAAGAATATGATCTTACTAAACCTCCTGATGATGGTTGTTATGTTTATGGATTATTCCTTGATGGAGCTAGATGGGATGAAGAAAATCGATGTCTGAATGAGAGTTTACCAAAAATTCTATAGTATTCAGTTCCCTATCTCTGGTTATTACCAAGTGAGGAAAAGAAAGATTGGGAAGCTGATTTATCTGTAAAATATAATTATTTAAATTACATTAGGTTTATGAATGCCCTGTTTATAAGACTTCTAGAAGAGCAGGAACACTTTCAACCACTGGTCACTCTACTAATTTTGTTATTTCTATATATTTACCTATTTCACCTGATCATCATCCCTACCATTGGGTCAAAAGAGGTGTAGCAATTTTATGTTAGACAGATGATTGAATTAATGTTTTAAATAATATAAATTAATTAATTAAACTTAATTATTTATGGAAGAATAAACTTAAGAACGTTTATCCTAATTATAAGAAATCCTAGCTCTTGATAATGTCTCTAAAATTACTAAAAAGTTAACCAAATTTGGATTTTCTTGCACTGAATTATTACAATAATTAGTTGAAACAAATCATAATTAAGGCATTTAAATATTATAATCTTACTCAAATAATTTTACAGAAATAAAAGGCAAATCATTTGTAGCATTAATCTTATATCTCTCTATTCAAGAACCCAATATTGAAGCTATCTTACAAGCTGATAAATTGTTATAATCTACTTAATATGTTGGCAGCTTTGTAAAATATTATGAAAAAGCTATAGCTAATGACAGTTCTTTTAGTCAACAAATTGTTGATCATATTGTTTAAAACAAAACAAATGTTCCCAACTTCAATCTCATCTATGATAAATTGTTTCTTTTATGCAAATAAAAAAAACTTAATAGTATACAAGAATTTGAAAATTTGATGAACACCTAAAAGGAAGTTGTTTTAATCATTGACAAACCTATTATCAAAATTATTCCATTAACTCCTAGAATCAAATCAGAGTATTTGCCAAAACATCTGCAAATTAAAAAAACTTAAAATGCTATATCAAAATAAGAACAACTTAGAGAAATGCAAAAAAAAAAAATAATGACTAAAAAGAAATTAATGAGAGAACTTTATAAAGAATAAAATGAATTACATAAGGTCAAAAAAGATAAAACCCTTCATTAACTTGGTAAATAAAAAGATGGATATAAAAAGTATTAATACTTATACTACTTTTAGAGGATTGAGATTGCTAGAAGAATAATAAATGGAATTAAAGAAACTCAAAACTATGCAATTAAATATTAAGAGACATAAAAAGAAGTCTTCTAGAAAAGGGGGTAATAAGTATTGAAATATTTGTTAATATTATTTATTATGAAAAAATTTATTTCAGCAATTAAGAATGTGACAGACCCTGAAAAAATGGCTAAATATGGAGCTTAAAAACTTGAAAATCTAGCTGATTATTTAGATCCTAATAACGAAAAGACTTCTTAATAAATTCCATTTATGGTAATAGCCATAAATAAATTTTATTCTAGATCACCAAATAAATGAAGATTGATCTTATCGAATTAGGATACAATTATGATGATATCAAAAAAATGACACCAACGTATGCCAGTAATCTACTGTAAAATCAAATTAAAAGATAGAAGTGATTAATTATATACTCACATAAAAAAATTACGATTTTTTTGTTTTAATAATCTAGGCTCAAAAGAAACTTTTTTTTAAGAACTAGATTAAGTTACCTTTGGTACTGATTTATGAGATTTTGATTTATTAGTCTTAAGAATGCTTCTTATTGTTTGTGTATCTGAGCTTGCTTAATTTTTATTCATAATAACAGAACACTCATCAAATTACTCAGGATGATTTGAATTTTAAGTAATACTTCTTTTCATTTTAAGACTTTTCCCTGTTTATTAATTTTCTAAGTTGAATTCTAATATTTCTTACGCAGTCTTAACTTATTATTCTAAAGTTTTCACTTTTTTCTAATCTTCAACTTGAGTAGTTGATATGACTTTTTACTCTTAAATTTTTTTTTTAGGAATCTCTTGAACATTCAGAATTATTTCTAAATAATTCATTTCATAAGTTTCTTCCATCATATTTGAATGAGAATGAGGTTTTGCTAAAGGAAATTACTTGTCAGGTTGGAATTTCATAAGTTTATTAATTATTGGATATTTAAGGCTTCCATCATATTGAGATTATTCTTTAATACAAACAGATCCCATTATATCAAATTATCAAATAATCAAATAAGAATTAAATTCTTATCATTTTATTATTGAAAAATTCCATTAATTAAAGAAAAAATCCTTTTCAAATTTTTATTGAGATTCCTATAATAAGAAGTCTATTTTAACTTTTAATATTAAAAACAATCTGTTCAACATTTTAATTCTTGTCAACAAAATGCTATCTCATACAATTATTTATTTTAAATTGTTAATAAACTTTCTATAAATTTATTTTAATTAATCAATTATGGAATATATATTAGAATCTGATAAAGAGAATTCACTCTTTTTTTTAATAATTTTTAAAGCAATTTACCTATTTAATTATAAAAAATTAAGTCATCTTGAGTAATTTCGAAATAGAATTACTTTTTATTTAAAAATAAAATGAGCTTTCATTTAAATTTTTTTAGAATATTATATATTTAAATTAAATGTTTTATTCAAAAGTAATTTAAACTTAGGATAATATTTTTGATTCTATAAACAGAACATTTTTATATTTTTTTATTTCTTCTAATATTTTTTTAATTAGATTGAAACTTAATTATGTTTTAAAATAATCAAATTAATTAAAGTTTAATAAATAAAAGCCATGAGTGATCATGAAGATAAAGAAAATGAGATATAAGAAGAAACAACATCAAATCCACCTAAATTTGAAGACTATTCTAATGTATGAAAATAATAAATACTTAGATGGATAAAACGTAAATTCCAATTTTTGAAAAGAATGCAGGAACAGAATGCTTTAAGAAAGGTGATTATTTCGAAGCAACTCGTCATTATGCTAAAGTAGCAATTTTCTAATATTTAAGGCAGTAATGGCATATTAATTTTTAATAAAAGATGGAGTGGTGAATGATCCAGAAGAAATGTAAAAATTGACTTAAGAAATATATGTAAGATAAAATATATATATATTATTTAGCTTCCTTGCAATCTCAATTTATCTCTTTGCTATATCAAATAAAAAGAATATTAAATGGGAAAGGATTTTGCAAATAAAGCATTAGAAGTTGAAGCAAATAATGTAAAAGGTTTGTATAGAAGAGGAATATGCTTGATGAATTTATAAGAAGTAAACCATAATTTTAGAAAAAGTTTAAAGCAGCTGGAGAGGATATTAAAAGAATTTTAGAAATAGAACCAAATAATGAAGATGCAAAATTAGCTTGGGAACAATTATTAAAAAAGAAAGAATAAATTAAACAGAGATAGAAAGCAATAAGTGAAAAAATGTTAAATAGTTTGAATTATGAGGATAAAATTGAAACTTAAAAAAGTAATGGGAAAAAAAGTTGGTTTAGATAGAAATATGATTGGTTAAAATAAATATTGTGTGTTAGAAAAAAAGCCAAAAAAAATTGAGGTTAGGATATATTAGTTTTTGAATAATAAATAATAATCTTTAATTATGGAAGGGAATTTAGTTAAATTTAATATCACATTAGTTTAAATATTGTCATTCAGATAATTATTATATATTCTTAAAATACATGTTATAGAATCTTGTAAATTGGTTTAGAGAGTTATTTTTCGGAAAGGAGTTAGAAATAGCTTTGGTTGGGTTATAAAATGCAGGTAAAACCACATTGGTTAATACAATGGCTACCGGAAAGTTTGAAGAAGACACAATTCCAACAATAGGATTTAATTTTAGATCTGTTAAGAAAGGGAAAGTAAAAATGAAAATGTGGGATGTTGGAGGATAAGCAAGATTCAGAGAATAATGGGAAAAGTATTGCAGATCAGCAGATGTAATAATTTTTGTTGTGGATGCGCAAGATTAAGGAAATTTAGATATTGCAAGGTAGTAACTTAATTAATTAATATCTTGGCCAAGTCTTGAGGGTATACCTCTATTAATATTAGGAAATAAATATGATCTATAAGGATGGTAACATCAATCTCTATATTTATAGTATTACAGAATAAGAACTTATTACATAAATGAACTTAAATTCAATTAAAGATAGATTAGTTGCATGCTTTAGTATTTCTGCCAAAAAAAATTCAAACATTGATGAAATGTTAAAATGGCTTTCCAAAATCTAAAGAAAAAATAAATGATAATAAAATGTGTTAATTTAAATTCATTATTATTTATTTTCTGAATTAAGAATTCTTTATCTTTATTTTAATGAACTTACCATTAGCAAAATTAAATTTATTGTCATAAAATTAAAATATTTGTAAATAGGCAGTCTAATCATTTTTAATGAGTTATTATGAGGGATATTAATTTGAATATAGATATTATGAATTACTTTTGAGATTATTAAGATATCTAAAATCAAGAAATAATAAACTTAATTTATTTAAAATAATACAATATTTATTTTAGATTGTATTTATTATTTTAATGCTATTAATATTATTCTCTTTAGCTATTGCTAAAAGAACGATAAATCCTGTGCTTTATGAACTTTTTGAGTAGATTTCTACAACCAATTACGAACATAATATTGATTCAACATTTTTGCTTTAATACAATAAGTAATTGATAGTAGTTATTATTTAAGCTATCCAGGAGTGTATAGTATGGAAATGGGTGAAATGATAAATGGAAAATATGTTTAAATATAATAGAATGATAGTCTTGATCCATTTACTCTACCAGGATGCCATCATTATTAAAGAAGATTGTTATATATGAAATTAGCTGATTATCAAACTAGTTCAAATGAATAGACTTTTACTCATATGTATATTGACAACGATTTTGTTTTTGTGACTAGAAATGATAATTCATTATTGCAATTTGAAATCTAACTTGATGAAGAAGAATAAAAGATCACAGGTTTAGAATTGAAAGAAACCTATGAACATAGTGGTTTTAGTTAACAGCATCAACTTATTTGTTATAATAAAGTTTGCTTAATATTTGGAGAAGAAGGCTAAACCTTTATTTACAAAGATAAGAATTTTACCTAAATAAATTTGACAGATATTATTGGTTAATCAAGAGAATTTCCATAAGATATATATTTTGATGAGAAATCTAAAGTAATTTACATTTGTTATGGTAATTCAATAATAGATGTGCTTCAATTTAGAAATAATAGTTCAATTGAAAAAGTTTAAACAATATAAAGTGGTTAGTAAATTGTCTAAATAAGAACTAATCCTGAAAGCACTATTCTTTATTTACTTGATTAATAAATAGGATTGATCTCTTATAAAATTGTTTCAATTTTAGAATATACTTTAACTTCTTTTTAGATTACAATTTAGAATAGTGTGGCATTTGATTTTTATGAAAACACATTCTTTATTGTTGCTGAAACCTAAGATGGTATTCCTTATGCTTTAGAAGCCTTATAGTAAGAAGATACTTATTATTTCAATAAAATTTATTCAAAAGATATGGATATTTATGATGTTTGGGTAGGAGAACACTTTGCCATTCTTATAGGTGCAGAAATACATAGAGTCATTTATCATTCAGTTTATAAAAAATTTGTAGAATAAAGTGAAATTCCATTATTCTTTGAAGATAGTTAACTAGTTAATGTTGAAGAATTTAGAAAATGGGAAAATGCTTTTTTTAATAAATAAGCAATAGATTAAGAACCTTTTTAAAAGATTCCCTTTTATTATAAATAATCTTTTATGATAGGAATTTCTAAAAATTAATTATCAGTATTCTCTGTTAAATCATTATTACCATGGGTTTAATGCAAACCTACTAGTACAAATTCAACAGAATATATTTTAAAAATGAATTCAACATCTTGTTTGTCTAAGTAAAAAGAAAATGATCATACAGCATTTAAATAATGTGTTATCTTTCATAATTTTACAATTACAGGAAAAGAGATTTATTTTTATGAAGAAGATCAATCCACATTAATTATTGTTGGAAGTTTTTTAATGTAAAATTTTAGTTATTTTTTTAGTGGAATCTTTATTTTATTAATTTTGTTTTATGTTGGTGCTCGTTTATATTGGAACTACCAAATTAATCAATTCAAGAGGTTAAATCATATTAAATTAGAAGAATAATAAGAACTGTAAAATATACAGCCATCTAATCAAGGAAATTGATTCATTTAATATTAATTTTCATAAATTAATGGGTTTAAACAAGAATTTCCAATTTAAAAAAATTATTATTTTCAATCTATTAGTATTATAAATTAGCTAAAAATTAGGACTAATGGATAATTCATATTAAATTAAAATTTTTAATTATAATTAATATATATATAGTAGTATCATAAGAAAAGTTTTAGTGATTGAATTCAATGTTTGTGAGACAAAATTTGAATAGTCAAAAACCTAGAAATCAAATTTCTTTTTATTTTTTTCTACAAATATTGGTGTAATAAATGTTTAGGTAAGTGTAATATATTTTGATCTTTTTTAAAATAATTCATCAGCAGATTTGTTGTAAGCAATGATTAAATAAATTACTTAATTTGATGTTGAAAATTGATTAATTTCCATCTATCTTACAAGTAAGAAAATGAAATGTGATTTGCGTAGAGATTTTATTTTATAATTTTTTGATTAATAATATATGAATAATACTAGAGTGTTTAAATTTTGTTTGAAAGCATTTATAGAAAGAGTAGTGATAGCAATTAATTTTCCTTGCAAATTATAAGTAGCTTGGAAGAGAGGTAATTAAAAATTAGAAACAAAGTAATCGGATTTGAATGTTAATGTTGCTAATTTTAATGAGGAATTAGAAATGAATTCAAATTTATATTTTGAGGATAATCGATTCAAAGAAAAGAAATGCGCATTTACAGTTACACTTCTGTCTCAAAAAGGTAATAAAGTAGCAGGATAAATTTCATTGGATATTTCTACATATTTGAATAGAAAAGTGGAAAACATTAGAGAAGAACTGAAATTAGATAAATGTCCTGATAAGCATGCTAAAATACATGTTAGATTTTAATTTATTTGTATAGAAGAATTGGATATAGATTAATTAAGTAGAATTTCTTATGCTTCTAATGTTGATCAAGAAGATCAATAAAATACTATTTAAAATTCAACTTCTTAATAAATAGAGGTTCAATAAGGAAATAATAATAATTAATAAGTAGCTTAATAAAATTATTATTAACAATAGGCTATATATACAGAATAAGATTTAGATGAAATAAGAACATTATTAAGTTAGGAAATGAAAAAAGTGTAATAAAAAGATAATTAGATATCATAATTAGAGCAGAGTCTTGAAACAAAATAAGAATAGTTGACAGATACAAAATAATAATTAGAAGCTACAAAATAGAAATTGTATGAAACATTAGACAAATTATAAAATTTTGAAGAATCTGTTCTGAATTAAGATGAGTAAAGAAAGAATTCAGAAAATAAAATAAAATATTTAGAACTTTAAAATAAATCATTACAATAAAAGATTATTGAATTGACTGAATAATTAAAATTAAATCAATAATTAGTAGTTTAATCTGATTAAAAGTTATCAAATGCTCTTGGTTAAATGTAGGTTATGAAGTAAAGAATAAATTAATATGAAGAATTAGAATTATAGGAATAAAATAGAAAATCAACTGGAAATAGTAAAGACATGGAATTGATGTAAAAAAAAATAAATGATTTAGAAAAATAAATTTAAAGAGAATAAAAAAAGTAAGAATAAGATTATGCATTATATTAAATACAATTAAAAAATGTATAGGCTTAATTAAGTGATAAGACAGAGTTGATAAATAAATTGTAATAAGAGAAAGATTTTGATAACAAAGATGCTTCATAAATTTAATAATTTAAAAAATAAATATAATAATATTAATAAAATGAAGAATAATTTAATAAGTAAAAAAAGTAATTATAATTATTAGAGTATTAAATTAATATAAAGACTAAATTTAGAAAGCAAATCAAAATGAAAAAAAACTAAAATAATAACAAAAAGAAGAGTTAGACAATTTTAGTGATTAGATAATTAAATTGAAATGTTAATTAGGAGATCTATTTAATACAGCATATGATATTGGTGGTAATAAACTTGTGGATCGTTTATAATAAGCAGTTGGTTTATCATGATTGATTAATATTTTTATAAATAAATAATAATGGATAATACCCTTTTATAAAGTGAAGTATTTCGACTTTAAAATTTGAAAAATATAATCAGAGCATTTCCAAACAATAATAAATTATAATAATTATTGGTGGCTGATGATTAAGGAAATTTGTATTTATTAGAAGCTAATGGTGATTAATTGAAGATTGAGAATAAACAATAAATTTCTACAGGAAAAGATATAAATTACTTTGATTTATTAATTTCACCAGCAACTTAAGAGAAAGATAGAATAATAGTGACAAGTGGTAGTCAAGTGTTAGGATTAACAAAAAAATTAAAAGAATACTTAAAGCATGATACATATAGTGCTGATTTGATATAATTTGCAATGATAGAAGGTAATTAATTATTTACTGCTGGAGAATATATGTTGAATGAATTTACATATTAAAACGATCGAGTTTCTTAACTATGTTTTTTTTTAAGTCCTGGAAAAATAAATTGTTTATAAGTGCATTATTTATCAAGTAAAGCTCATCCTATATTGGGATGTTAGGATTCATGTGTAAGGATTTTAAATTAAGATTAAGTTTTATATGTAATAGCAATGACTTCACCTGTTATATGTATGCATATTTATGCACCATAATATAAAGAAATTTCAAGTTAAAATAGAATCGAACATAGAAGATGTTTTATATTTGGATTAGAAGATGGAACTATTGTAGCAGCTGATCTTGGAATTGAAAAAGCAAATATTCTATTTACTTTTAAAGTTTCAAGTATTGCTTAAATTAAACCATATGATTTCTTTAAAACAGGAAAAACTGATCTAATTATTGCAAGATAAGATGGAATTGTTGAAGTATATTAAGATGATGAATTAAGAATTTAAAAGAAAATTAATGAAGGTATAACTAGTATAGATTGTGGATAATTTTTTAATTTAAATGGACCAACTGAAATTATTATATCAACTTTCTAAGGTAGATTACTATTATTAAGAGAAGGATAAAGTAATTCTATTTCAAAGAATTAAAAAGAAATTGAACTTTAAATCAAACAATTAAAAATAGAAATTGCAGACTTATAAAAATAATAAATTAAAGACACTTAAAAAATTGGAAATAATAATAGTAGATAAAATAATAATAACAAGGTATAGGTTAAATTTAAGGTTTCTCATAAATTGATAAAAAATGATAAAGATGGAACATATAAATTAATTATTGATTCATAATATCCTATTGATATGATAGTATTAAATGGTTAAAAGATTTAAAAGTGTTATACTATAAAGGATCTTAAAGTAAGCAATTATGAAATTCTTATTACCTAAAATGATATGTACAATATTTATGTGATACCAATTGATATTAATTCAAGTTAAAGTTTTGCTGTTAATGTTAAGCCTTTGGGATCTTATTAGTCAATTCATTTAATGTCAATTAAGCATTTACCTTTAAGTTCTTTGAATTTGAAGGGAGAATTCACAAAATAAGATATGATTATGTGGTTAAATGATTTAACAGATGTAATATTATTTATAAATAAATTATAGTTATAAAATTCATAGGAAGACACATAAACTCATTTGTTTAGAAATGCAGCATTAGATAGTTATCTTTAAATCAAGTTTAAGTAGGGATAAGCTTTATTCAAAAGTGATTCTATATCTGTTATTTATACTTGTAGATAATCAATTATGAATAAAGCTAATGAAAGAGCAATATAAGTGGAAGTTAAATGGGAATGTAAAAATGAAAGTGTTGTATAATATTTATAAAAAATCAAGACTTTATATGATGATTGTATGAAGATTAAAAAGTAATATTGTCTTAATTTAGAAACTATGAAATTTTACCAGCAATAAAAGAGCTTTTGATTGATAATCATTTTACCATTTTAAGCAAAGAATTTTAATAAATATACTCATCAGAATAAGAGTTGTCAGAAATTTATAAAGAGTTGCCAAATAAAATATAATATCTGGAAGATTTACTTATTGATACATACACTTCAAAATGCAATTTAAAGTCTTAATTTGACATGAATATTGAAAATGTGAAATCGTTATGGAAAAGAGATTTTTAAGAATTAATCTAATATATATTAAAATGAATTAAAACATAAATTTATTTATTTTAGGAAATTTTTTTTATCTAAAATTTAAATAACATATTTATATGTCATTGATTAGGCAACTCTTTATATATAATAATATATAAGTTTATAAATCGTAAACCTAAGTAATTTCAGAAGATTAATTTTATGATTATAAAAAATCAAACTTTAATCGACAAGGTTATTGACGTCTTTCGTTTTGACTAAGAAGATAGAAGGCCATTACAGAGTAATAAAGACAATTATAAAAGTATTCTTGTAAAAGCTAGATATTCTCAGCTAACATATTGGATTGTTAATGCCAAACATAAAACTTATCTATTTTGATTTAGTCAATCAAAGTGTTGATTGTGAAAAACGAGTTTATATATTTCTAAAAGGAAAATTAAGCGTTGAGGGTATTCTAATTTTAGAAAGCTTTTAAATATTAAAACCTACAATAATGCGTATTGTTTATCTTTATTAAGTAACTTTTAGCAGAACTCTTTATAATCAGATTATTTAAATGAATAGACAGAAAGAAATTGAAGCTAAATTAAACTTTTTAATTCAATTTTCATTTTTTTCTTGCATTTATTTAAGCTCAATTTATGCTATTCTAGATTAAATTCCACTTAAAACATATTAATATAAAACTAATCTTACACATCTTTTACCTGGAATTGTTTGCATAATTAAATCAGGGTAACAACTCTTTATCAAACTAGATCAGTTGTGCTCCAGTCTGTTAAAGGACCTTTTCATAAATAATTGTATTAATTTTTATTATAGTAGTTCGATAATAACAGAAAAAGATCTTTTTGGAGAAGCAAATTTTATAGATGAAGATAATAAGATTAATTTGAAAAAGTTTTAATTTAATCAAAAGTATTACGAAGCCATTTGTAATTCTTAAGAAGTAGAATTATATTTAATAAATGTATCTGAATTAATTCACTCATTAAATTCTTAATAATTAAGAGTAAAATATAAATTAATATTTAGCTATATCTATAAAAAAAATTTAGACAAAGAATATCCCAATTAAGATAGAATATAGAATAAAATTAGTCGTTCTCGAAACCTAAGCAATAATAACAATAATAATTATCTCAAAAAAGATTAAGAACAAAAACAATAGGTTCAGATTCATAGTATGAACATTTAAAATAAAAAGAATCAGCAGCTATTGATAAAGTTAAAGAAGTTGTAAAAAATATGAATTTCTCTTATTCAAGAACTAGAAATTATTTTGCCTCAAAATTAGGAGCTGAAAATATACTCTTTCATAAAGCTTTTATGTATTAATATACTCCTCAAAACACAAAAAAGTAAAGATAATCATCCTTATCTTCTGCAATAAAATAGAAATTAAGTTAAAGAACAGAAAGATGCAAGACTATGTCTAATATAGATATGAGAACAACATTTTTATAAAATTCTTTTTATAAAAACTATTAAGAATAAAAGGAAAAATAATCCAAACAAAATATATTTGATTGATAAAAGTTGCCTAAATGTTTATGTTTAAATAATTATAAATATATTATTTGATTCATTTTGCCTTTTATAGAAATTAATCAACAGTTTCAATACTAGGTTTTTATTCTAAAGATGAGTTTTGCTCTTATTGTTTTTCATTTTTCATTTTTTGCAAAGGAGGTTTATTTATTGATTATGATTAATTCTCTGGTGATTTTGAGTTTGATTTTTTGATATCTTCAATTTTTACTGTCTTTTTTTCAACAGTTTAATTTTTAACTCTTTTAAGATTTGATTTTTTTTTGACTTCTTCATTTTTTGTCTTAATTTAAACAATAGATTATTCAAGTGATTCAGTTTTAAGATTAACATTCTAAGTAGATAAATTAATTTATGGAATTATATAAGCTTAATTATCTTAATAATCTTTTTAAACCTAATGTTAAAATTTATTATTCTTTTAAACTTGATCCACAGATTTGTTTTAGTCATAATGCCTTTAAACTCTTAATGATAGATCAGTTTATATTTTTTAAGGATAATTTGGAATAAAGTGATTTTATTAATAGGAAAATTTAACCAATAAGTCTTATTTTTTTTACCATTCTTCAACTTTTCTATATGATTATTATTTAAATTGATATTATGGAACATAATTCTAAGGTCTTGAAGTAAAGGATTCTTGAATTTGATTGACTTTATTGTTTGAAATATTTCTAGGATGAGTAACACTTTGTTTGAAAATAGAAAAAGAGTTTTAAATGTGGTTGTTCACAAATCTTGTCAATATGAATCATATATGATACACGGCATCTTATTTGACCATATTTTGATATATTTCTATTGGATTCATGTTTGATGTTTAATAATTAAAATAATAATAATTGATCAGATTTTCCAGTTATTTTACTTTCCCCATTTTTTAATAATTGTAATGATGTATTCTACCTAAGGATTTTCACCAAGTGTTGTTAATAGATTCATGACTTCAAGTAATTAATCTAAAGTGCCTTTAGATGCAATAACCATTTAAAATACTCCAACAACTGATCCTTTAAGGGCATCTTCATATTCATGATCTGAATCTAATCTTGCTAAAATGTCAAAAGCTCTAGCAGCATAATAAAAATGACCCATTTTATAACAATCATTTGCTATTAATTGCAAAATTTAGAAAGACTCAGAAGAAGGATCCATATTCAAATATAATTCCCAAGCTTCTCTATTAATTATTTAAATCAATATATACTTAGGTTTTCCATTCATGATAAAAGTTCTAGTCATCCATTTTAAATAGCAGTCATCAGACTATTTATTTAATATTGAATACTCTATATTTTTCAGCTTATATAGCAACGAGTGCTTCTTCAGCTTCTTTATAATCTCCAACTCCAGCACAAGCAATTCCATAATTCCAATTGAAATCATCATCATTTGAAAAATAGTTCTTAATTGATTTAAGGTAGACTAAGACATCTTCAAATTATTTGCATAAAAAGAAACATTAAGACATACATTATCGTCCTGGAATAGTATCACATTCACTAGCAGATGATCCTACCAATTAAAATAATTATTAAGCAGTTTTTAATGCTTCTTTTTAATCTGGACTTGATTATCCTTTCATAGCATATACAATAGCTTTTAGAATATACTCTTTAGGTGAAGTAGGTTAAATATCTTTAACAAGATTAAAAGCCTCTTATACTTCATCATTTTTTAAATAGTAGATAATCAGATTTAATTTTGCTTCAGGGAAGATTTCAAGTAAAGGAGGTAATGTTTATAATGCATTTTCTCCTCCTCTCATTACAACTAAATTATGTCTTAATAAATCATTATCAGCAAATACGTTTCCTCCCTCATATGCCTATTATAAAGGTTTCATTATTTCTTCAGCTGCCTTACCACTATATAATGAAAACTAATTGCATGCTTTCAAATTAACTGCTGTTACACTAGTAGGATACTGATTCAAATATGATTGTAATATTTCTATTGATACATCAAAATATTCCATTTTATAATAACACAATGCTACATACACATTTATTGCTGTATATTCTCTATTCTCTAACAATAACTTTTTGTATGCATCTGTTGCCTAAAATTTTTATCTTTTTTATTTTTACTTCTTCATAATGTCCTCTCAAATAATGAATAGCAGCTAAACATAATTAATCATGCACATTATCAGATATTTTATGATGATAAGTCATCAAATTCTTCTCATCATTCTTCTTATGTGCAATATGAAATTATCTAAATATCTCAAATTTTATACAATCTGACAGCCAAAGGAGTTTCTGGTCCTTTTTAACATTCTCTTTTTGAATCTTCATATTAACAAAGAGCATAATAGCAACAAGCCTTATATACATGAATCTCTTTATTATAATCTGGTTTGTTCATCATCTAATCGTAAACTTATATAGCCTTTCTTTTTTTTTATTACTAAATTAAATCATACTTGTAATCTCCATTGTGAAAATATGCATATGCAAGCCATAACTTAGGTTCAGCACGGGAATCATTAAAACTTATTTTTCATTATTTTAATTTACTTTTATTCATTCTCCAATAAAGCAACTGCTCCAACCCAATCTCTATTTTTTACGTAATCTTCTAATGTTGGCATTTTTTATTCAACTACTTTTACAGCCAAGCCTCCACCTACTGGAGCAGAAACTTTTGTTTGTTTTGCTTTACTCATAGATGATCCTGGACGTATCATTAACTTCTTTATTTAATAATTTAAATAAATTACTAAATTTCATATTATCTAATATTCATTATTTTCCATTTATATCCTCAATCAGAATTCATCAATCACTGTATAAAATATATATTCTTTTTATATCATGTCATTTATAATTTAAGTTTATTAAAGAATATTATGAAAAAGCTATACTAATCTTTTGGATAAGATGCTTAAAATTTTCAAAATAAATTGAATAATTATTAAGAGAAGGTGTAAGGAAAATTTTAGGGAATGCTCTTGAAATCAGAAGAAAAAAAATAAAAAATCATTTAAAAACTATAATATGCAAAAGAACAATTATAATTAAGCATTGAAAATAATAATCAAAAAAAGAGCTTCAAACTCTAATAAAAAATTGACTAATTAGAAATTGAAATGTAGAAAATTAATCGTAAAGATTAAATTGCAAAAGATTATCATCTTGTTTATGATGGTTTATTAAACTAACTCTAAATTACTCAAACTTAATAAATTGAAACATTATCTTAAGCTCAAAGAAATGATAATTATAAAATATTGTGTTCAATAAAAAGATAAGCAATTAACTTGCAAAGTTATGTTTATAAAAAGAAACATATTGATCCTCTTATTCAAATATGTTTTCATTGCAACTAAGTAATCTAATATTTATTTTTATTAGCTTTTAAAAGAATATCTAAAATTGGGTGTTGATAATTAAATTTAATAAGAAGATATATTTTAGATTGATAATGTAGCTAATCAAAAGCTAAATGAGAAAGAGAAGTTTAGAGAAGAAAAATGGTAACAAAAATAAGAGGAAAAATAGTATTTGGAAGATTAATAACTTTAATCTTAATACAAATAAAAGGATGGAAATAAATAACAAAAAAAGAAAGAAAGATCTAACTATTCTAATGAAAGAAAATTAAAACAATCTCAGCAAGAGTAATTATTAGAACAAAACCAATAAATCTAATAAGAAAAAGGAGAACAATATTCAAACTTATGGAATAAATTAACGAAAAATAAACTCAAATAACAATAACAACAATAAGAAATCAAATAAGGATAACATATTGACTTGATACAAAAATTTAATAATTTAAAAATAGAAGATAAACAACAATAAAATCAAATAATTTAAAAATAACAAAAACCTTAAGAAACTGAATAAGCAACAGATGATTCTAAATTATGTTAGATTTGTTTTGAATTTCCTAAAGAATATGTAGCAACTCCTTGTGGTCATTTTGTATATTGTTCAAAATGTAAAGACTTAGCTTAGAAATAGTGTTTAATTTGTAGAGAACCTGTATAATAATTGATCAAGGTTTTTTAATGAAAATTTATTTATAATCATCATCAATCTTCATTGTTTTATTGAACTGAAATTTTGTAAATGAGGAAGTTTAGTTTTAGCCTCTATTCTAGTATCTTTCATCTTAAGGAATCTTCTTTTATATTTCTTTTGAATGAAACCAAGTTTTTCATAAAATCTTTTCAAATGTGGACAATTGTCTCCACATTTAGCATGTACTTATTTCATTTTTACCATATACTCTCTAAATTCCTCTTATGAAATATTTTCATTTCCTTATTATAATATAGAAATATACCTTATTTTCCTAAAGCATTTCTAACTTATCTAATGAGTTCTCCCATACCTCCAGATTTATTATTAACCATTTTATTATATAATTTATCAGCTTAATCTTATTCAGGTTCTTCATCATCCAAAGTATCAAGTGATTTCTAAGATTCAGCAGAAGCTGGTCTTTACTATTGATTTGGAATTTCTTCTTAAACTTCTTGTTATTAAAATTACTATTAAGTTAATTGAAGTTTTTATTATTTATTTGTTTTAATTTATTATTTTAAAGATACCCAATTTTTAATTTGTTCAATTTTTGTTTTATCTAATCCTAATTCATATAAATATTATAGAACAGATTCCATAGACATTTTTGTATCACCATAAGTTCCATCAGTTTAAGTAGCTTTTTAATCAGTACCTAATTTAGTAATTTTAGTTGTTCTGGTTCCATCAGCTGCAATAGTTGTTTCTTCAACTATTAAATTACCATTTTTATCTGCTTTGACTCTTTTAACAGTTCTTTCAATTTTTCCATCTGCTCCAACTTTTGTTTCTTCAATAAATTCTTCTCCATTTTTATTTTTCCTTTTCTTAACTATAATTTTATTTCCTTATGCATCAACTGTTTCAATTTCTGTGATTACATTTCCATCTTTGTCAACTGTAGTTTTTACAACTGTTTTAGATCCATCTGCATTTGTAGTTACAGTTTCTGTAATTTCAGCACCATCTTTACCTTTTGTCACTTTTGTTTTTACAATTTTTTTATTTCCTTATTCATCTACAATCACTTCTTCTTTTATTTCTGCTCCTCCTTCTCTGTATATTTTTCTCTAAACATTTAATTTTTATCCATTCTCATATACTACTTCATTTTCAATCAAATTTCCATCCGCATCTTATTATACATTTTTCTCTTAATTAACAATTGAACCATCTTTATTTTGAATTTATTTTTAAACAGTCTCTCTTCCAAAAGAATCCTTAACTGTTTTAATTACTATTTTTTAACCTGTTTTAGCATCAATTCTTTCTTCTTCTGTAATTACATTACCTTTAGCATCTTTATAAACTTTTTTTTTGACAATAGTTATATTTCCATTAGCATCAACAATTTCTTCTTCTATAGTTTCAGTTCCATCTTAATTCTTCACTTTTCTTTATATTGTTACAGATCCATCAGCATTTTATATTTCAACTTCTTCAATACCATCCTTAATTCTTGTTTTCTTGATTATTTTATTACCTTAAGCATCAAAAGCAACTTCTTCAACTACAGTAATACCATTTTCTTAATAAATCTTTTACTCTTTAGTTGCAATTTTACCATTCTTATCAATAATTTATTATTCAATAATATCTTAGCCATATTCATTTTTTCTCTTTGTAGTAATTACTTTATTACCTTTAGCATCTATTCTTTCTTCAACAATTACTTCATTGCCATCACTATCAATATAAACTTTTCTTTTAACTTTAGTTTTATTCCCTTTTTCATCTATAATTTCTTCTTCAAAAATTTCATTACCATCTGCATCTTTATATGCTTTTTATCTCTTTGTAATTTTATTACCTTTTTCATCAACAGTTACTTCTTCAATAATATCATTTCCATCTTTATCCTTTACAGTTCTCTTAGCCACTTTTAATTTCTTGCCATCAGGCATAATATACTCTTCTTCTACATATTCAACACCATTCTTATCTTTTTTAATTTTAACTTATTTAATTCTTTTTTATTTTTATCCATTTTCATCAATATATTCTTCTTCAACTTCATATCTCTCTTCATCAGCTTCATTCCCTTATAATTTTCTAACCTTCTTTCCTGTTTTATCTTCAAACCATTCTCCTTATTTAATTTCTTTTCCATCTTTAGCTACTGGTTTAGATGGCAAATTTATTTTAGATCCACCTATAGCAAATCC